ATCTTAATTAATTTGTTACATAAGCATGCAAAAAAGATCTTGATCTGATATTTGTGCAATCCTGGTTTGACAACATATGTGGGTGCCCGAATGACCTTGAAGAATTATGTACTAGTGTTGATACATTTACCTCTAACCCAATTGATTGTCATACTCGGGCAGTTTCGTTTCAACTTAACTTCGATATCTTGATTGGTGCAGGTAGAAGGGAATAATTCACAGGCTGATGATGCAATAATGCTCGACAAAGATGGTTACGTGTCTGAAACTAATGCGACAAATATAGTAAGCACTTTTACTCGGCCGGCATGTAGGATTCTCAACACCCCCATTCCTTCCATAAGTCGTCACTAAATTAAATGATTTCACCTACTCCTACTGTAGTTTGTGGTGAAGAAAGGCCAGGTTGCAACACCTCATGCTGATTATTGTCTTCCTGGAATAACACGAGCAACTGTAAGATTCATAAAATATATACATTGCACCACCAGAGTCTTTATATTTTCTTTCTTTCAATTTCTCCATCTTTAACAAACTTGAATTTTTACCGCCTGTAAATATTTACATATTGTGGTTTGAGATACTTTTAAATGTATTACAAATTTACATATACCTATTCTGGTTAATCACCTGCCCTCGTATCTGACTTGCAGTATAATCAGACTGGTTAATCATTGTGGTTTGCATGTGATGGAACTTGTGTTAAAGGAAAAATTTATCTTGGCCGAGCGGCGTATTAGTCTGTCAGAGTTCCACACAGCAGACGAGGTCGAATCCTTTTGTGTGTTCTCTGTAATTCATCTAAAGAAGGGACAAGTGTAATCAAGCTTCTAGCTGGTTCTTGATATTGATGATGATATTTATTAATCCTCCGTTCTTTTTTATTTTTTTGCATGCTGCAGGTCTTCACAACGGGAACCATGGGAGAGCTCAGTCCAGTACGTATTTCGTATTAAAGCATTACATTATGTGTCTAAGAAACCTTGCCTGCTTTAAATTTGCTGTACCCCCTGAAAAACTCGAAGCCTCTGTATCTTTCTTTCAATTGATCAGGTTGTAAAAATCGATGGACGTGTTATTGGTGACGGTAGAGTGGGCCCCATTACCCGACAAATTGCAAAATGCTTATAAAGAACTCACCGCAGGATCAGGGGTTCCTATACCAATCTTTCAGCAACCTTGATGATGAGATACTTTTGCTGGTGCAAGTTTTTCTCTCTTTTTTTTTCCTGTTATTTTATTTCTACTGCATATATTAATATTTAACTCGAATTCTGAACTCGAACCAGCATTCTTTTCGATCTTTTGAGCATGAAAGAGCAGAGCCATGTTTCGAGCCTTAGCTCGATAAACTCCCTTCAATACAACACCAATACATTAAAAAATCTTGGGAAGAAAGCTGTCTCCAAAAGAATGCCATTTTCTCTGATGTTTTATTTACAAGTACTCGTGTAACTCACCAAAATTTTCGTTATTAGGCAGCCTCGATTATTCTCTCGTCAAGAATGCACGGTAAATAGTCCGTTTTGATGAGTAGGACACGGTCCCTGAGCCTGCATATTGCTGGAGACGAGAGACGATTGATCCTAAACAGATGAAGAAACAAGAACTTGTACCATATGAAGGTTCTTATAGCCTTAGTTTAGCAACTGTACAAGATGTTTCTATTTAGAATAATTATCAGTTTTTGGTAAGTGATGTAACATCAAAATCACAATTTTAAAACTGGCTTGGTAAGTCAGGCTAAAATATGAGAATCCCTTGGATACCTACCGTCCAAACTGGTGGTTGAAAAATGGTGTTTGCTTGATTCAGCTGACAGTAGAAGATACCATAAGAGGGCTGAAAAAAATAAAAAGATAAAAAAATAAAAAAAAAGCCATCAAAATCACAATTTTTTTATGTAAGACGGTGCAATTGGTACTTATATTTTAAGAATCAAAATGCTAATTCAAAGTGGTATTTTATGACAAAATAAGCATATTTGTGATCTGTTGTAATTAAGGACCTTCTTCACCCGTAGTGCAAAACGCGAAATTTGCAGTACGGGCTGCTCCAATCAGTCTTCAAAACCAATCGCAAAATGTGATCTACGCTCTCTCGCCTAGGTTGGATGCATATTTGCGTCCGAAGGCAAATTATGCATTCAATTTTTTTTTTAAAAAAAAATAGTGAAATAATAAAACGATCTTTTAAATTTACAAGTGAGTTTAAAAAATATCAACTTTTTTTATTTTTACTTTTATGAAAATTTGATAATATGATATTTAAATAACGAATATCATATTATTTTATATTTGTTCATAATAGAGTAAATATACATATTAATTTTATATTTTTGGCAATGTAAAGTACTAAAGAAAATCTAATTTCATGAAAATTAGATATGTAATATTTAAAATCGTGAATATCTTTATCCTTTAATTTTATATATTTCACAATAATAGTGTAAACTATACATATTATTTATGGCACTTTTATTTAACAAAAAAAGAAAACAATAACATTAATTAACAATATTACTAATATAGAATACAATAAGATTAAAACATGATATTGTTTTAATTTTATCTTGTGTGTTGTAATTTTAATTTTTAATGAATATTTATTTCTACGATTTTATTATGTATATGATTATAACTTTATAATTAATTTTATTATATAAGGTTCAAATCAAACTTAAATAATAATGTGGTTAAATTTGTAAAGTTGTAAAATATGTGTGTAGCATTGAAAAATTATAAAAGTTGACAAAAACGAGAATGTTTGAGAATATTCTTTTAGATTTGATAATGAATTTTTTAGATAGAGATGAAATAATGTTTGATGTGACAATCACTCCAAAATGAATTTGAGAATGAATTTTTCCGTAATAAATGACCTTATTAAAATTCTACATTGACTCATCTGTCTAGTGGAAACTAGTACAGAGCCCGTGCGATGCACCGGGTGCACAATTTTAAGGTCATTTATCCATTCTTATAATTATATAAATGAATAAAAAAATGTACGGGATATATATAATACGTGACATGTAATAGGCCAAAATGTGAACACGGGTGATACCCGGGGTGCACAATTTTAATGTCATTTATTAGTACAGAGCCCGTGCGATGCACGGGGTGCACAATTTTCTAGTATGTGTACTAAAAATACATACCGTATGCACGGGACAGAAACACTAAATAAGTCATTTCCACAGAGCTTGCTCGTTAAGTAGCTCCTGAACACGAGTGCACACTTGTAGTACGTACCATAAAATCAGAACAGATTTCCATACAATCAGATAATAAATTAGATAATAAATAAAGCTTTTTTATTTTAGTAAAGATTTTAAATACTTTGTTTTTTTTTACTTATCGGATGTTATGGGATTTTTTTTGTTAAACCGATTTTATGGAATATAATACAAATACAATTCGAGGATTGAACAAAATCAGAACAGATTTTCATAAAAGTAGATAATAAAAAGGAATTAGATAAGAAAAATAAGGAATTAGATAAGAAAAGGAAGGAATTAGATAAGAAAAAGAAGGAATTAGATAAGGAATTTTGAATCTGACTTTTTTTTGGATAGATAGACTTTACGTACAAATTTTGACTTCACTGATTTTACGGGAATTATTTTGACAAAATCGATGTTACTATAGAATAAGACAGATAAATAAAGTCTTTTTTATTTTAGTAAAGATATTACGTCTTTTTTTTTTTACTTGTCATATGTTATGGGATTTTTTTTCTTAAACTGATTTTATGGGATATAAGACAAATAAATAAATAATTAAATAAAATTCTGGATAGAAATAACAATGCATTAATTATGTTGACTTTTCAATCTACTAAATGTGGTAAATAGGATACCTTATATAATAAGTATAAATACAAATAAATAACATGTCAAAATTTTAAAGAATAATTAATGTATTTTTTATTATCTAGCCATCAGTAATATCATTTAATGTGTGATCATTATCTCTTAAATGATAAATAAAATATTAATTTAAAAAATATTTGTTTTTTATATACTCAAATAAAAATTAAAAAATACTATTGACAAATATGAATTATAATATATATCAGTAAAATCATTGCAGAAGTTAATAAAATTATTTAAGGAAAGAATCTTTTTGATCATATTTAAATAGGAAATGTATATATGCAAACAATTAATGCATATAGTAAAAAAATTCTAAATAAAGTATGCATTAAATGTGAGCTGACTTTTTTTTGCTACTATTTTTGGCAAATAGTATGACTTTTAATATAAGTATAGATGTCCAGTAGCTTATCTTTTGCTTTTAAGTTTTTGTTACTTAAAAACAAATTTTTTTTTTCCAAGAAAAGTTAAAATAAAGAAATAATAAAAATATAATTTAAAAGTTTATAAAATTATTTATTCGGATTGACCCGATGACCGCTGTCAAGGCTTTAAATTATGCCATTATATATATTTTATATCTTCTTTTTAAATCCATAGTTTCTTAACCCGAATCTGTCCGGCGGGTCTACTCGGGATCCAGTCGATCTGGAGCCGAAACTGATTCAAGTGGACTATTTGAACCGAGCAACAAAGAACCCAGTCCAATTCAGTCAAAAACCGGCCGATCCGGCCTTGACCCGGCGATACATTGACCCGACCTTTAAACTCAATTGACTCAGACCCATATTTTAATTCTTTTTTATTTTTTTTTTCGAAATAAAACTATGTATATATATTTATATGATAAATATTACATTGAGGTAAATATTATTAACACTTTAATATACAAATTTTATACACAAATATTTAATTTTGTTATTTTTATATATATTTACATGACAAAATAATTTCAAAATTTTAAAATTAATTATTCGATTCAACAATTGACTTAAAAACCGCCCGACTGTAAAAACTATGTTTAAATCTCATACGCACGCAACCTATTGGAGTTTTTCTTCATCGGGCAAGAGCAAAAACGATGGAGCAGTTAATAGACAGCGGGTGAAGAGTATCTGCAACAATGAGCTTTGTCGAGGTACTAAATGTGATGACTGCTCAAATTCTCAGATTTTTAAAATCTCACTCACCCATGGCGTGTTGCAAGCTTTTATATTTTTATCCATGGCGTTTTTGCAGGCGACCAAAGCCGCCCTCTTTCAGGGCTTCGCGTCATTCGCGCAACTCAAGCACATCCACGCGCGCCTCCTGCGCCTGGACCTCCACCGTGATCACTACCTCCTGAACATCATGTTGAAATCCGGTTTCCACTTCAACCGCCCGACCTACTCCGCCGCCGTGTTCGGCCAGGCCCACGAGCCCAACGTCTACCTTTACAATACCATGATCCGTGGGCTCGCCTCGAGAGACTGTTTCGGCCAGGCCATCGAGTTTTTTTTCTCCATGCGCCGAGCCGGGTTCCTGCCCAACAACAACACTTTCCCTTTCGTGCTCAAGTCGTGCGCCTGGAACATGGACGGCGAGTTGGGCGCCAGTGTCCACTCTCTCGCCGTCAAAGCGGGGTATGACGACGACGTTTTCTTGAAGACCGGTTTGGTTGGTTTTTACTCGAAATTGGACAATCTGGACGACGCCCGCAAGGTGTTTGACGATATTATCGAGAAGAATGTCGTCTCGTGGTCCGCCATGATGGGCGGGTACATCAGGGCCCGGAAATATCGTGAGGCGGTGGATCTTTTTATGGAGTCGCTGGAAACAGGCTCGAGGCCCGACAGCTACACGCTCGTCCGTGCTTTGTCGGCTTGTGCACAGCAAGGGGATTTGAATTCAGGGCGTTGGATTCACAATTGCGTGGTGGCTATGGGGATGGGAAGTAACGTGTTTGTGAATACTGCCTTGGTGGATATGTATGCCAAGTGCGGGGACATGGACAAGGCCCGCACGCTTTTCGAGGAGATGCCCGAACGAGATATGGTCACGTGGGGGGCCGTGATCCAGGGTTACGCGGCAAACGGGCTCCCAAATGAGGCCTTAGAATTTTTCCACCGTATGCTGGCCCACGGTTTGAGACCCGACTGTTATGTCATAGTTGGGGTTCTCTCGGCGTGCGCTCGTCTAGGTGCATTGCAGCTGGGGGAGCGGGCCCACGCCATGATGGAAGAAAAAGAGTTCACGAAAAACCCCGTGGTTGGCACAGCTCTCATCGACATGTACGCCAAGTGTGGGAAAATCAACGCCGCGTGGGAAGTCTTCGCTGTTATGCGTGCCAGGGACATCGTTCTTTTCAATGCCATCATATCCGGGCTGGCCATGACGGGCCAGGCACGGGCTGTGCTCGCCTGCTTCGGGCTCCTGCAGAAGTGTGGGCTGAGGCCCGAT